ACCTGTACAGCTCTTCTGCATACCTATGTGCAGAATAAATTGTCTGACAAAGCAGAAGCTCTGATGGCAAAGATGTCACAGTGTGGTTACATGAAGCATCCCCTTGCTTATAACCACATGTTGTCCTTGTACGTTTCCAATAGGCAATTTGACAAGGTTCCAGAAGTAATTCAGGAGTTGAAGAGTAATACTTCGCCAGATGTTGTTACTTACAATCTGTGGTTAACCATTTGTGCTTTGCAAAGTGATGTTGAAACTGCAGAAAAAGTTTTCCTTGAGTTAAAGAAGGCAAAGCTAAATCCTGACTGGGTTACCTTTAGTACTTTAACCAACTTGTACATAAAAAGTTTGCTGACCGAAAAAGCAGCAGTTACCTTGAAGGAGATGGAGAAATTAGCATCTCGGAAAAATCGAGTTGCATATTCATCCCTGCTCAGCCTGCATACAAACATCGGCGATAAGGATGGTGTTTGGCGAATCTGGAAGAAAATGAAATCATGTTTCCGCAAAATGAATGATGCTGAGTACACATGTATGCTATCTTCGCTTGTGAAACTCAAGGAGTTTGAAGAAGCTGAGAAACTCTATACTGAGTGGGAGTCTGTTTCTGAGACTCATGATGCCAGGGTTTCAAATATACTTCTTGCAGCGTATATCAACAATGACCAAATGGAAATGGCTGAAACATTTCATAATCGCATGGTGCAAAATGGCATAACGCCTTGTTACAGTACTTGGGAGCTTCTTACATGGGGTTTTTTGAAACAAAAACGTACGGAAAAAGTGCTAGATAATTTTAAGAAAGCTGTCGGTAGTGTGAAAAGATGGGATCCTGACAAAATATTGATTGGAGAAGTATTTAACAGGCTCAAGGAGGAAGGCAATATACAAGGGGCAGAGGAACTATTGGTGTTTCTTCGGAATGCTGGTCATGTGAGCACTGAGATATATAATTCACTTCTAAGAACTTATGCAGAAGCTGGTAAAATGCCACTTATAGTTGCAGAAAGGATGGAGAAGGACAATGTTCAGTTGGATGAAGAGACTTGCAGACTTATAAAACAGACTAGCACAATGTGCGTGAGCGAAGTTCCTAGCATACGCTCTTGAATGCAAGTGTGAGATGAAATTTACTTCCAGAAAATTAGTAGAATTTGTTCTTTTTCAGCTAACTTTTTGTAGCCATAATAGTTTTACTTATATGATGCTTCAAATTATAGATTGCATTTGTTTTCTTGATCTTTGAATTTGCTTGTTTATGTTGGCTGGATAACAAGAAGGTAGGATTTGAATGTGATCAAGAAAGAATGCTGTTCATTGTTCTGAAACCAAATCTATATATGTGTTGCTTCGTTTCTTTTCTTTTCCATTGTTTTTGGGGGGTTTATGGGCAGAAAGTTTTGCAGTTTACCTAATGGATTTCGAACAGTTTCTGGTTCAACAAGCAGTTTGACGGATGAATATGGGCAGTAGAGCTGTAAATGTATGTCAAATTGGGGGTTGATTAATTGGGTCAATGATCTCTACACCAGTATATATTTGTTTCAATCAAGCTAGGTCTTCCTTGACCTGCCAAACCCAACTGAACTGCCACTTCTGTTGACCTAGCACTTTGCAATCTTTTTGGGTTGGGGCTGGCTGACCCACTTTTATTTTGTCGGATTCTTATAGAACTGAGCTTTCAACCAAAACTACACTAACAGTCCCTCCATCTCTCATTGATTGCAAAGTTCACCCAAAAAAAAAAGAAGATAAAATTAAGTATTTATCAATAGATACAATGTAATTATAAAGTGATTTACAAACTGTGTTAAGATTATATACAAGCAATTGAACTATAAATACTTAATTAAAATGCGTAAACTTGAAGTTTCACATTGTAAATATAACCTATATGTAAAATGAAGGGGGGTAGACTTACTGTTTGGTCAACTGACCTAACCCGCATATGCTAAACCAAATTATACTTAAATTTAATGTGTCTTCAAAATGGCAAATACCAAGAGCTTTGGTTCCCAGTAATTATCATACAAAAAATAAGATAATATATACAAAACCTAACTTTGATATATTTGCTTGTGTATGTCACATGTGGAACCCACTTTCCTAAACCGTACTTTGAACAGATGGACTGATGGTAGCGTTGGTAAGGTGGTTAAGAAGAAGAGGCACTGTATACAAAGTGGTACACTTAATTCGAGTGTGGTTTATTTTGTATATTAAAATTCTGACCAAAATTTAAGGGGGAAAAAAAAACTTTTAGAAATAAAAACAGGTTATGGCGGAAGGAGCCAACATCAGAACGTTACGTGAAGAATAACTGCAACGACCAAATAGGAAGAGGGGTTTACCGAACCCAACCCAACCCAACCCACGTCCACGTCCATGTCCCACTTAGACCTATACACACTCAAATTACGAAAATGCCCATCTTTTTATCAGAAAACTACATGAACCCAATTATGATATATTTGGCTACTGGTCAGACCCATTTTCCACGTATAATGACCTTTACCCCCCTGCATTTCTAATTCTGGATAATTGATTTTAGAGTTTTTTAAAAAAATACAAGCGGTACTTTAATTTACCGCCGGAAAACTTGAATTTGGGTGTAAAGAAATGAGCTCTATGTCATAGAATTTTATTAAGAAACACAAGATTTGTTGGATGGTTAACCATGTGGGCATTGACTTATTTAAACCAATATAGGAAAGTAACTCTAAATTAATCCAATCTATTTGAAGGTGAACTAGAATTTAGGTGCAAAAGAACGAGTAAACTTCTATTCATAAACCCAAAATTTGTTGAATGATAGGCCATGCGGACATTGACTTAGTTAAACCAATGTAGGAAAGTAACTTTTGATAGATCCCTTTATTTCATTAGGTTTTATCATCATTTTTGGTCTATACATATGGTTTGATATTAGTGAGTAAAAGTCAAAATAATTTTGAATTTGGATATAAATAAAACAGTCAACGACAGAGTTTAATTCGAATTTAAATACCAATTAATACGCAAGTGACAAACATGGAAGATACTTGGAGTTTGAGCAGTTATAAAAGATAATTGGAGTATTTAATTTTCAAATTTCCAATCATGCATGGATTATAGGGTTAATCATCATAAATCAAACAAATTGTATTTGACCTGGAAAGGTCAAAGTGGTCATTAAGGAAAATCCAACCCACATAGAACCGGCAAACCGCATCTTGGTTTTGTGCGTAATTCTAGTCGTAAACTAGGGTCAATTAATAAATTTGAATTTGTTAAGAACTGCGCTGGCATAGTCTCGCAGTTGAGGATTTAACAAAGACGCGACCCCAAACGACGACGTCTCGTGAAAAGTCTAAAAAGAAAACATATTTACACGCGCTTTTGGAGAAAGAGAGAGAGAGAGAGAGAGAGAGTTAATTTAGTTTTCTCACACATGAGACTTGGGCTATGAATTATAGGATTTTCTCTCTCTTAATTTGGTTACCTTAATTTCCAACCTGGGGAGGCCTTCATGGTTCGCAACATTGCTAACATGGTTCCTGCATTTAACCAGGTTCAATACTCTCTCTCTCTCTCTCTCTCTCTCTCTCTCTCTCTCTCAAGTGAAATAAAATCCTCTCTCTCTAATCTCTATCTGTGTCTCTGTGTATATTTTTCCATGGCTGCGATGGAAGGAGAGGTTGGTTTTGAAGAAGGAATGTTGTGGCTGCCGTCACAAGTTCTGGACGAAGCAATATGCGACACAAAGGTTGATATATACACATATACATATTCTAAATTCTTCCATCTTTATATTTTTGTTTTGGCTCACTCCAAAATTTATTGAGTTTGTATTATTTGTGTTTGATTTCTTAATTTGAAGGCATACTCGAGGCTTCAAGTGCAGCACCACCAGCATCATCATTTGGTACGTACTTTCTCTCTTTTGTTTCTGTTTTTGTTTTTGTGGTTTTTTTGTTCTGCAACAATGTCTGTGAAAATGGTGGAGACGAAGATGGAAATTTTGACGCTGGGATTTTGGAGATTCTGGTTTTTACTACCGCGACACTTTTGACATGGTTTTGGGAAATAGTAGATAGGATCAATAGATAGATTTTTATTTTTTGTCAAAGGACCAACAACAAACCTACTCTTTTTAATTTATCAGAATTACAAACCCACTCATGACACTACGTACTTACTCAACAGCCAGGATTAGGTTATACATAATTGGTCTAGATCTACCTAACCATTTCAGGAGAGTAATATATAGGTATTGGTCATTTTCGTTGTTAATTCACTGATAAACAATAAAATATGGCTGCCTTCATTTGTGTGTGTATATATATATATACACATAAATTCTCATATGCAGACTGTCTAAATGAGAGAATAATAACTTATATATAGAAATTCTCCTATGCGTATGTCCGGATGTTACCGTGCAGACGTCATTGTAAACAGGGAAGAAAGCTTGAAGGGGTAGTAGAAAATATATATGGGGGAGTTTTTTTCTTCTAAATTTTGGTAATGGAAATCTTATTGAAGAAATGATTGATGAATTTAGTTATAAACCCTTCCCAATACATTTAAGGCATACTTGGTTCTTAAGAAAAGAAAAATATATATAGTTGGAGGCGTGTTTTGGGGGAGTAATTAATTTAGAGTTGTGATGTGGGGAGGGGAGCTACCATGTTTTCTTCGAAAATTCCCCATACCTGGCTTAGGGATTAAGTAATGTCGACTTTAAAATAAACAAACACATTGGAATTAAAATTTAAAACAAATTAAGTTATCTTAGTGTTTCTTTGACTAAAATGTGTCATTGTCACCAATTGCAGAACTCAAAACCTAGCTCAATTAGACCTCATAATCATAGACCAAAAGCCAATGTGAATTGGTCATCTGGAGGGCCTGGAATGCAAGCTATATTCCTGGATTCTTCTAGCCAAAGATCATGTGGCACTGGCGTTTTTCTTCCTCAAAGAGCAGTTATTTGTGTTTGATTTCTTAATTTGAAGGCATACTCGAGGCTTCAAGTGCAGCACCACCAGCATCATCATTTGGTACGTACTTTCTCTCTTTTGTTTCTGTTTTTGTTTTTGTGGTTTTTTTGTTCTGCAACAATGTCTGTGAAAATGGTGGAGACGAAGATGGAAATTTTGACGCTGGGATTTTGGAGATTCTGGTTTTTACTACCGCGACACTTTTGACATGGTTTTGGGAAATAGTAGATAGGATCAATAGATAGATTTTTATTTTTTGTCAAAGGACCAACAACAAACCTACTCTTTTTAATTTATCAGAATTACAAACCCACTCATGACACTACGTACTTACTCAACAGCCAGGATTAGGTTATACATAATTGGTCTAGATCTACCTAACCATTTCAGGAGAGTAATATATAGGTATTGGTCATTTTCGTTGTTAATTCACTGATAAACAATAAAATATGGCTGCCTTCATTTGTGTGTGTATATATATATATACACATAAATTCTCATATGCAGACTGTCTAAATGAGAGAATAATAACTGATATATAGAAATTCTTCTATGCGTATGTCCGGATGTTACCGTGCAGACGTCATTGTAAACAGGGAAGAAAGCTTGAAGGGGTAGTAGAAAATATATATGGGGGAGTTTTTTTCTTCTAAATTTTGGTAATGGAAATCTTATTGAAGAAATGATTGATGAATTTAGTTATAAACCCTTCCCAATACATTTAAGGCATACTTGGTTCTTAAGAAAAGAAAAATATATATAGTTGGAGGCGTGTTTTGGGGGAGTAATTAATTTAGAGTTGTGATGTGGGGAGGGGAGCTACCATGTTTTCTTCGAAAATTCCCCATACCTGGCTTAGGGATTAAGTAATGTCGACTTTAAAATAAACAAACACATTGGAATTAAAATTTAAAACAAATTAAGTTATCTTAGTGTTTCTTTGACTAAAATGTGTCATTGTCACCAATTGCAGAACTCAAAACCTAGCTCAATTAGACCTCATAATCATAGACCAAAAGCCAATGTGAATTGGTCATCTGGAGGGCCTGGAATGCAAGCTATATTCCTGGATTCTTCTAGCCAAAGATCATGTGGCACTGGCGTTTTTCTTCCTCAAAGAGCAGGCTCCAACTCCCACAAAACTAAAAACCCAGGTTCGCAAGTTTGTTTCGATTAAAATACTATATATATATATATATATATGTGCTTTCAATTTTCTATTGAAATACTTATATATTAATTGTTGCATGCAGCTTGTGCTCCTGTTCTTCTGCCCTCCCGTGTGGTTCAAGCTCTCAACCTCAATGTTCATGCCCTAGGCCTCCAAATTTCACCCCGACAAGGTTAATTTCATGCTCTCTTAATTTGAACTATGTATATTTTTAATAAATGAATTTATTGCTAAGAAATTAGGGTTTCTTTCAGATGTTAAGGATCATAAACGAAAAGACGGCGATTGTATTTCGGCTCATAATAAAAGTGGAAATAAAGATGTTCCATCGACTCAATGCTACATTATTTCTCAAAATCCAAATTCTTCCCCGGAGTTATTTCTTCCCAAGGAATGGACATACTAGCGGAGAATGTGTGGAACAATTATACATGTATACAAGAGAAACTCGTCATAAAAGGCTAATCTCTCCTGGCTATATGATTGATGTGCTTTAAATAATCTTGATCATGTTATGTAGCTTTAAATAATATCAGCTCGATGTTCCGTTTTGTACAAGTGCTTTGATATATATTTTAATGGTTTATATGTATAATGTGTACACTTTAAATTGATATTGCAACTCTACAAGGTCCGATTTCAGGAGTAGATAACTAGTATGGTTGTAAGAAATCCAACAATAAACGAAGTAGAAACAAGTATAGCTAGGAGATTATCTTATTAATATTTTACAAATAATTATGGGGTTTCCATGGTATCAACAATCCTTTTAAAATAAAAAAAATTATCAAGTAAAACAAAGCATTATTTTAATAATAGTATACGATATTAAATTATTTTAATACTCTTCTTACATGACTAACTAATGCAACCCACACATCCTAGTTTAGATAATACACGCTTAATTATACAATTAGGGAAAAAGAACACACACGTTCACGTGAAAAATTCCATTTTCATCTTCTTCTCCATAGGGTTCTTCTTTGCTATCTTCTCCACTGGTTATTCTCTTCACTCTTCTCTGCTATCTTCTCCATTGGTTAGACTCTTGAAAATTATGTGTATAATACGTAAATTAAAAGCCCTTTTAACTTCCAACTAAATTACTCCATTTCCCTATGAATTTAAATTTTCATTAAATTATCAAAGAATTTTAAATAAAAATAGTCTGATATGATGTTATCTTTATTTTTTTTTTCTGTTACAAGGAGGGCCAAAGCCCAAGAAAAAAACCAAAAAGAAAACTACACTGGGACAAGCCTAGCAGTGGTCATCCTAATATAGTCATTTGCCAAGAGGCTTACAATAGAAGGAGGGGGAAGATCAACAACATGATAACCCAAATTGGAACTTTGACCCATATGTGTCATATGATCAGCAACAATGTTTTGTTCTCTATAAATATGAGAAATGGAACACTCCTAGTCAAGCAAGAGCATGTCTTTGCAACTATGGATGAGGCTAGAGAGAGGGTGACTAGGCCTAGTCTCTCCATTAATTAAAGAGACAGTAGAAAAAGAGTCACACTCTACTTTAATTCTACGAATACCTTCGTTCCACGTAAGGAGTAAACCTCTTAAAACACCCCATAATTCAGCTTCAAGGATTTTACCACACCCCAAATTTGTAACAAAGCCCCTAATCCATCCACCCGTAGAGTCCCTTATGATGCCTCCAACACTAATAGATCCCATCTCACCCATACAACTGTCATCCACATTAATTTTAAAACAACCAGCGCAAGGAGGAGAGGAGACCAATGTAACTTAAGAATTTGTTTGGAAGCCTTAGAATTCCTGGAGTGATTAGCCACCAGCCACTCCCTAGTAAATTGAATGATTGGAATGTGGGGCGAAACACAGTATAACTTAGTCAGACTATTTATCCGGAACAACACCAAACGCCTTATAATATTATGGATAAACAGTCAATACTCTCCGAAACATATTAATACTATCCAACATAAATTAGTCGATATAGTCCAACGTACCAAATGAGCCCATAGGTTATGCCTTTAACTAGCTTGAATACTAAAGGTCATGCCTTTAACTAGCTCAAGATTTAATGGTATTTCTCCTCTGAATATTGAAAGAAGTACTAAATTTGAATGCCCATTTAGTCTAAGTTTCGTTGAATCTATAAACAAACACATAAACTTATAGTAATAAATTGCTATTTCAACTCTACAAACTAGTAAAACTTAGTTGCATAATAAATTGTTTAGTAATCATTAACAATTTTGGCAAGTTACAACTGAAAAGTTCGGTCACTATATAATTTTTTAATATAATATATTAATTTTTTAAATATATATTATTTGTATTCAATAATATGTGAAAATTATGTGTATAATACGTGAATTTTGTGTGTATTATTGAAAATTTTATAAAAAAAATATGTCTATTAAACATGAAAATGGTAAATTCTTTATACGGATAATAACTTTGGAAAAGTGAAAAATGAAAAGGGGACGAGACTCAGGTAATGACCTAATAGTAATAGATAATACTTTATCTTATTGATAAACAAAAATCGGGGAAAAAAAATTTAAAAGAAAAAAAGGATTCCAGTACATATATATAAAGAGTAGAACGGATCGACTATACTACTTTTTATATATAAAAAAAAATTAGAAAAAAAAAATCTGAAAAACAGAGTATAGCCGCACGGCTATACAATTGATACCAAAAACAAAAATAAAACAACTGAGTATAGCCTCGCGGCTATACGATTTGTAAACAAAAAAGGAGGGGACCCCAGTGGTTAGGTGCCCACGTGTCAAACTAAGTATAGCCGCCCGGCTATACTATTTATGTTAAAAAAGAGAGGGCCCGCCTTGTGATTAGGTGCCACGAGTCCAAATAATTATAGCCGCGTGGCTATACTATTTTTTAAAAATATAAAATTCACTATATAATTTTTTAATATAATATATTATTTGTATTCAATAATATGTGAAAATTATGTGTATAATACGAGAATTTTGTGTGTATTATTGAAAATTTTATAAAAAAAATATGTCTATTAAACATGAAAATGGTAAATTCTTTATACGGATAATAACTTTGGAAAAGTGAAAAATGAAAAGGGGACGAGACTCAGGTAATGACCTAATAGTAATAGATAATACTTTATCTTATTGATAAACAAAAATCGGGGAAAAAAAATTTAAAAGAAAAAAAGGATTCCAGTACATATATATAAAGAGTAGAACGGATCGACTATACTACTTTTTATATATAAAAAAAAATTAGGAAAAAAAAAATTCTGAAAAACAGAGTATAGCCGCACGGCTATACAATTGATACCAAAAACAAAAATAAAACAACTGAGTATAGCCTCGCGGCTATACTATTTATGTTAAAAACGAGAGGACCCGCCTTGTGATTAGGTGCCACGAGTCCAAATAATTATAGCCGCCTGGCTATACTATTTTTAAAAAATATAAAATATAAAAAAAGAGAGGACCCCATCGATTAAGCGCCCACGTGTCAAAACTAGACTATTTAATTTAAAAAAATCAAGAAAAAAGGACCTCCTAGTTGCACTAGTTTATACTTTATAAATATTAATTTGCTATTTCAACTCTACAAACTAGTAAAACTTAGTTGCATAATAAATTGTTTCGTAATAATTAACAATTTTGGCAAGTTACAACTGAAAAGTTCGGTCACTATATAAATTTTTAATATAATATTTATTTATTTATTCAATAATATGTGAATTTTGTGTGTATTATTGAAAATTTTGAAAAAAATATGTGTATTAAACATGAAAGTGGTAAATTCTTTATATAGGTAATAACTCTGGAAAAGTAAAAAATGAAAAGGGGACAATAGAAACTTGGGTAATGGCCTAATAGTAATGGATAATGCTCTAAACTACTCTTATCGATAAACGAAAATCGGGGAAAAAAATTTAAAAGAGAAAAAAGGATCCCAGTACATATATAGAAAGAGTAGAGCGGACCGACTATACTATTTTTCAAAACAAAATTAGGGACAAAAAAATAGAAAAACAGAGTATAGCCGCTCGGCTATAATATGTAAATAAAAAATTAAAAAATCGTGTATAGCCGCTCGGCTATACTATTTATATTAAAAAAGAGGGCCGTCATGTGATTAGCCGCCCACGTGTCCAAATAAGCATAGCCCCGCGGCTATACGATTTTTTTAAAAACAATTAAAAACCGAGTATAGCCGTGCGGCTATACGAAAAAAAGAGAGGATCCCATCGATTATTGCCCATGTTTCAAAATAAGTATCGCTACACAGCTAGACTATTTAATTAAAAAAATAATAAGAAAAAAGGACCTCCTAGTTGCATTAGTTTATACTTTATAGATACTAATTTGCTTTTTCAACTTTACAAACTAGTAAAACTTAGTTGCATAATAAATTGTTTAGTCATCATTAACAATTTTGGCAAGTTACAATCGAAAAGTTTGGTCACTATATAATTTTTTAAAATCATATATTAATTTTTTTTTAAATATATTATTTTTATTCAATAATATGTGAAAATTATGTGTATAATACTTAAATTAAAATCCCTTTTAACTTCCCACTAAATTACTCAATTTCCCTATGAATTTAAATTTTCATTAAATTATCAAAGAATTTTAAATAAAAATAGTTTGATATGATGTTATCCGAAACAACACCAAACACAGTATAACTTAGTCAGACTATTTATCCGAAACAACACAAAACGCCTTATAATATTATGGATAAACAGTCAATATTCTCCGAAATATATTAAAACTATCCAACCGAAATTAGTCAATATAGTCCGACGTACCAAATGAGCCCTATATGTATAAATACACATACTCTTATATAGACACCAACGTGAATGCTAAAGGTCATGCCTTTAACTAGCTCATGATTTAATGGTATTTCTCCTCCAAATGTTGAAAGAAGTACTAAATTTAAATGCCGAATTTTTCTATGTTTCGTTGAATCCATAAACAAACACATAAACTTGTAGTAATATTTACAGCAGTCCGGCTTTGTACACAATGTTATGTTTAGAGTGTTGAATCATCATTTAGAGCTTAAACTTCAAGTTTCGAGATTGAAATTAGTTAATCGATTTGATTTTAGGTTTTGAGTATCAAATTTTTGAGCAGCACCAAAGCCCTATGGATTACTCTACGGGCTCGTTTGGTACACAGGATTGGCTTGGACTAAATTTAGTACCATGTTTGTTTTATCTAATCCTAGTCTTAGATGGGATTGCTAATACCGGGCCCACCAAAAACACCTCATTAGGAGGGGACTACTAATCCCACGTGGAAAGGGAGGATTAGCTAGTCCTAATGGTGACCAATGTATAAAATGCATATATTATATTGTAAAATTAATAACATATATTATTATTATTAAACTTACTTACACATATACTATAATGTACATATATACATGTATATACACATAAATATATCATATATGTATATATGTATATAT